CCCCCGTTGTGGTCTTCCAGGCAAGGAGGAAGAGGGTCGACCCTTGACCCCAGCCACCCAGACTACCTGGAGGTGGAGAGCGTCACCTCGGGCCAGCCGTCTCGCTTCACCTCCCCACACCCGCCCTCCTCAGCCCACCAGCCCGCCACCGAGCAGCCACACTCGTCCTTGACCTCCTCCCCCCTGTCGTCCCGTGACCCCCGACCCCCCGCAGAGAGGCTGGAGCCCCTGATGCCCGCCCAGCTGCGGCCCACCAAGGAGCGGGAAGTGTCGCTGAGCAAGGCGGAGGAGAGGGGAGACAAGTAAGCTCATCACTCTTTGTGCAGGGCTGGGCCGCCCTTGGTCCGCCCTTGGTCTGCTCGCCTTTTCTTTGTGCTTTGTGCTTTGAGCTGAGGTTTTTTTTAGTTAATACAGTTGTTTTGGGTTGTTTTGTAACGGTTAACAAAGTTATTTTTGGTTATTATGTAACAGTTAACAAAGTTGTTTTTGGCAATTTTTTTTTTTACTGTTGATACAGCTATTGTTCTCCGTTTTAAATTGATTTTCCTGAATAAAGCTATTATCTTCCGTTAGTTTTTAACACTGATACAGTTAATATGTTCTTTTAATATTTAACAGGCATACATTTGTTATGTTCTGTTGATTTTTTTAAAGTGATAAAGTTATCTTCCATTATTTTTTTTTTACAGTGGTACAGAGATCATCTTCTGTTAATTTTTTTTTACCGTGATACAGTTATTATCTTCTGTTAATATTTTACAGGTATACAGTTGTTATGTTCTGTTAAGTTTTTACAGTTACTGCGGTTATTATTTTGTTGGTGTTTTTTTACAATTGCTATGATTGATATTCTTAGTCATGGATGTTCATGTTGTTTGAGTTCTTATTACCAGGATTTGTGTTCTGTTCAACCCCTCATTTGTCGTGTCTTTTAACTGTGTTTTTATTTGCAACTGTTGGTTGATCAATTCTCCGTTATTTTCACAAAATTCTAGTGGCCACCCTGCTTGTACATGTGTGTGTTGCTTCTCTGTCGGACTTTTGGACATAGCGTAACGGTGGGGAAAACTACGATGGAACTTTGTGGAAAAATGTACTACAAGTTTCTGATGTGTTTTTGTCTGTCTTCCTGATGCATAGCTGCCAACTATTACGTAGAAAACGTATTGAGTATGTTCTTGAGGGTTTGATTACGTATGTCCGTTTTGGTACAGGAGAATACGTATCCCCAGTTTTCTTGTATTGGCCGTCACCGACTTGCCGAAGTTGAAGAAAAATTCTGTACTTTCAAGACGGGATTAGCAGATGATGGTGAAAACGAAGCCCAGAAGTCAGAGCTGTAGAGATGGTTTGCTGCAGGTGTACTATGAATAGCTTGAATGTAAAGAGTGTACAGAAGTGTGTGTGTACAGAAGTGTGTGTGTACAGAAGTGTGTGTGTACAGAAGTGTGTGTGTACAGAAGTGTGTGTGTACAGAAGTGTG